TGAAGAAGGGCTAGTAACTTTGAACTAAAGAGGTATGCAACAGTGTTTGCATCTAACCAGAATTTATCAACCAAAATGGTAAAAATAACAAATAAGTTGTGCTTGGTATGTGTTTTTAATTTACTTGCTTGTTTTTGTTGGGATTATATGCACAGTGGGCTGTAGTTGTTTTGGAACTGGTTGTAACACTTCTTTCTCTTAATCCCTCTGCTTTTGTTCTACCCTCTACTGTGAAGTTTTCTGTTATGGACAGAGTCCTTCCACTGCTTTGGTTAGAGAAACCCACAATTTCTTCTTCTCTGGGCTCAAAATCTCTCCTTGGGCAACACCTTTTTGTAGTCAAGGAGTGTATATGCAGCTTTTTAGAGCACAGAACTGACAGAACTGCTGTCAGTGGTTTTCTGAAGAAAATCCAACTAAATTAACCAACTTGTCTTTAAAAGTCGCACCATTTTCTTTGGCCTCATAGGTGACACCTCCTTAGATGTTACCCTCACATACAGTAGTATCAGGAGCATGTCCTGCATAATGCTTTTGTTTGCACATGATCTAGAGTATTATAGACTTCTGGACCATTTCTTTCTCTTTATCACACCCAGCTTGCTCAGTGCAGTGGGTCCTGGAGGGAGGAAGGAAGGAGGAGAGGCAGGGTCCATAAGTGAACCAACATATTTGCTTCCCTTCCTCTCTCTTTTCCCTCTTTTCAGCCCTTGTAGCAGCATTTGTGGAGTCTCTCTGCAGTACTAACATCAGGAGGGGAGAGGTGGGAAAATAAAAAATTTTGGCTTTATTGTGGCGCACTTTGCTCCTCAGGTCTGCAGAGCCTGGGAGAGAGACAGGGCTGAGTTACTCATTGTTAGCAAAGGGGGATGGGATTGCTGCTGCCTTTCCACACCTCACTTACCATGTTGACTTGCCTTGCTGGTTGGAAACTGCTTATCTATGGAGTTAATCAAATGCAGATCAGAGTTGCATTCCTTGGGCTCAACTGATTCTTCTTGGTCCTGTGTTTTGCAGATAGGGATTGAGGATTTCATGTGCTTTGTGTTTTCAGGGAAAGGCAAACTGACATCTTGGCTGAATCCCAAGGAATGGAGTGGGTGGCAGAGTTTATATATGGGCTGGGGGTTGATTTGGCTCTAGCTGCTGTGCAAAGTTCACTTTGACAGCTGAAAGATGCAGAGAGAAGCACTTTCAGAATTAGAGACAGTGAGGTAATGAGAAAGTGACATAGGAAAGGAAGTGGAGGGGGGGAGGTGGGGGGAAGGGAGGGCTCAAAACTCGCCTTGACATCATCTGATAGGTTTTCCACCCTGTGCAGCAACTATTTTTATGCTTTCAACTCACAGTAATTACAGCTCAATGACAGCCAACTTGCCAAAAGCAGGGGTGGTGGTATATCCCAGAGTGGGTTGGAGGACTGAAGAGCTGCTCAAAAGCTACAACAAAAGTCCAGGTTCCCAGGCATGATTCTGGCTGCTGTGACCTATTTTCACATCTGCATGGTGGTTTAGCTCTGGCTACCTGTCATGTCTAGTTTTCTGAATGCTGAATGGCAGCACTGGCTGTCACCAGCTGATTGAAAATATAAGAGGATGTAAATATCAGGCTCTTCCTGAGAACTGGAGAAGCAAAAATGCATGGTGCTCCCAGCCTCGCTTTTCTTCCTCTTCCTAAAGGCCATTGTTGGTGGGAGGCATTGTTGGTGGATCCTGGGAATATCCACAGTGAACTCATATTACGTAGATGTGATCTCTAGCTGAAAAGTAAGCAACACAAGTGTCACTGTGCAGTCTTTTGAAGTACATAATTATTTTGAAGTATAAAATGAATTGAGTTGTAAGATGTTAGGGCTTCACAGTGATGTAGTGCAGCATTCTGTTATTTTCCCAGCTTTTGTGTAATTGCTAGACATCTCAGACAACTCTTCAAATGTAGTGGTCTCGTACTTCTTTCTTAGGATTTATCTGGCTTAGACCTTGGCTGAGATCTCTCTCATGTTGCCTGAGTAAGTTTTTAGCAGTACATTGTTTATACTTAATCACTAAATTATGTGCATGCAGATCATTGCAGGTGTTGTGTCCTGTGAGAACATTGTTACTGGGGGAAAGAGGAGAACCTGCATTGAACTGCAGAGAGGAGCGGAGGTGAAAGGAGGAGAAAAATGCACATTTGAAGGTGGTGGCGGAGATTATGAACACATTTTCTATCCGCTTGATAATTTGAATTAAAAAATGCAGTATTTTTGGGGGGATAGAAACTAATGATGGGGTTTTGTGTTACAGGTGAGTTCATCCAAGGTCTACCCTCTGTTAAAATTGGTGTGGTCCCTCTCTCCCTTCCCTTGGCTTTTAAAGATAGAAAGATACAAGAAATTAATTCATTAAAATTTGTATGTATTTGAGGTACCACTACCTACTCACTATTTTGAGTGGTACCTCAAATGCAAGTGCTCCATTCCATGCCCTCCAGGCCTCAGAAGGAGTAGCAGTAGCTGTGTAAGCCTGTGTGCTCCTGATGCACCATTTTGGGGAAGAATACATCCCCACATTCTGCATCTTATTTCACACTTGAAAGTCAGAGGATGTACAGCTCTATTCGTGTCTCATGCATAGATTATGAAAACTGGGCCTGATGTTTTTCAGATGAGAAATCTATGGCAAATACTTAGGTGCCCTTGGTAAAGGTGATTGTTTTGCCAACAGTACTTCTGCCAATTCTAGGGTAACAGTTGTGCAAGACACTGAATGTTGAGTGTGCATTAGTGGGGTTGATCCTACTTTTCTGGAGTAGTTAAGCAACTGAAACTGTTGTTGAAATCCCACCTCTGCTGTAAAATGGGTTTTTCAATCTACCCTACTGATTTCCAGAGTAACTGTCAAAGTTACTTCTTACAGTGCATTGATATTTCTGTCCATGTGACTGCTGATCAGACTTTCGGATCTCTTACCAGTACATCAGGATCCAGTAAAGAAAATTAAACTTTTAAAACCTTTTTTTATGTTTATAAACCAGTAAAAATGGTATCAATGTCTCATATAACACAGGTTGCTCTTGGCTTTACTTATCTCTTAGATTCCACGTTTTGCAAGGAGAAAACCCAGAAGTGCTTGCTTGTGTGTTGAAGGTATCCTCCAAACTAGGCCCTTTGGAGTTTATCTTCTTACAGCATGGGGAACATTATCCATGTTCTCTTTGGAGTGCTGTGGCCCAGATAATTTGGATAATTACTTCTTCTTTTAGAACACTAAATAATGGTGTGGGAGAAATTTGATACTGTGAGACAAAATTTTAGAATATCTTCCTCAGCAAATAAAAGATTTACCTAACTACCATTGAGCCAGTCAAGTGTTCTTCTATCCAAGCTGTTTTCTGCATAAGAAAAAAGAAAGGTGTGTCTGTGTACATGTCTGCAGATCTGCAGTAATACATTGAAAGGATCAGATCTTCATCAGTTCTTAAAGTTCTCTTCATCAGAACTTGGACAATGTCTTAGTGCTGTTTTGGCAATACCTGGGTATTGGCAGGTTTGCTGGATGAGCAGCCAGCTCATGTTTCTCAGGTTTTGTATGCTGTAGTGACCTGCTAACTCAGAGGCCCTGGTTGGCAAAATTATAGTAGGTCCTGACCTCTGTAGCTGAATCTTGTAATTTTTACCATCTAGATGGTATATTCTTGCCAGGAAAAGTAGAACTAGGTCTGGCACTGAGTAATTGTTCTTTAGTTATTGCAATTATTGGACCTCCCTGCTCAGAGTATCAGGCCTGACTCAATGTGTTTTGTGTTGCTGCTGAAAGGGTAGATCTGTACAATGTGTTTCTTTATCTTCTCCTTCATCCAGTCTTTAGAACTCTTGTTGTGTGCTGGGTCTCTTTCCCAAGGCAGCTCTCCACAGTGCTGTGACTGCTAATGCTCATACAAAAACAGACTCTTCTATTTATGCAGTAATTTGACCTTGCTGGCTGAAGTTCACTGGGAGACTGAACCTTCACCTGACTTTTACAAATCCTAAAATTAAGATGAAAATTTTTGTTGAGTATATGGTGGTAATTCAGGAGTATTGCAATTACAGAGCTTTATATTATCACCAAAGGTAATTTTTTTTACTCACAGGAAGACTGGGGTTTGTATTCTTTCCTGGATGAAGGTTAACATTTCAAAGTAAGAAAAGCACTGTTGAAAGTACTCAGAAATGTCACTGATGCCATCTAGCATTTGGTTGAACACTACTTTTCTTAGATATTAGTTTCATTATTAGAGAAATTTTTTCCCTGATTGTAATTCTAGCCTTGCTTTATAAAATGGCTTGAATGCCTCTAAAACTGTTTGGAAATTGGAAAATTTTGTCTTGATGGGGATGGGAACAGAATATGAATTGGAAACTGTTCTTGTAGTGTTTAGAATATTCATCTTTTAATTTTGCAATGTCCATGTGGTTATCTTTGTTTCAGGTCTGTAGGATGACACTGATTACTATCGATCTATTTTTTTTTTTTTTTAACTCCATACTTCATAGCACATCTTATGATTCATGCTTAGCAAAATTAAAAACCAACAAAGCTACCAGCTGTATTGGTGAGAGTACCTCCTAGTTGTTGTTGAGATGGAACATGTCTTTCCCTGGTGACTTCCAATTCCAGTACCATGCTGGGCAGTGTGTATGAGCAAAATTTGTCAGCCATGTGGCATCTGTTCATGATACACATGAAATAAGCTTAAGATGAGGTGGATGCCCCCATACAAAAACAGATTCTGAAGTTCTAGTGCCTGCAGTAGAGGTTTATTGACTTGGGGCTGCAGATTATCTTAAGGTAGGTGTTTCTGCTAGGTTGGGAGAATGGATTTAAGGGAAGAAGGGGTGAGAATATGTGCTTGCACAGAAGTAGCCTGCTCTTACCTGTGTGTGGTCTCAGGGCAAATGCATATGAAGACTATTTCTCGGATTATCAGTTTAGCTTTCTCCACAGCAAGTACTCCTGTTTCTAAGGGTTTAAGCTAGAAGGGAGAAAAAGCATTTAGTTTCTTCCCTCAGAGCAGGGATATTCTCCTAGCTGTGTGCACAGCATGCTTACAGTCTGGAGATGCAGGGGGAGAGAGGGTTCTGCTCAATCACATGATCTTGCCTGTCTGGCAGGTGTCTGCAGTGTGAGTAGAGGAACCAACTGTTCACTATTTTGGGTGAATGAGGTTGGCTGTTACTGCAAGTGGCCCCACAAAGAAGTCCACGCATCTGTTGATAAGCAGTGCTCTGCATACTGGTGCCCAAATGCTTATAGCTGCTTGCTGAAACAGTGAAGTTTCTGTTTGAGCTTTGAGATCATAGGAAGAAAAATTTTGCCAAGAGCCTTGTTGGTTTTAATCTTTCGATGTTGGCTGTCAGGATTTGTCTGTGCCTACAGAACCTCTCTGTTCTGATGCAAGCACAGCCTTGGAATCTAGCAGTAAATTAATTTTTTTTCTGCTCTACCGCTTGGTGCAGTGACCAAAACCTGGTAGAGAGGGATTGCAGTTGGGTCTCTTGTGAGGATTAAGCACCCCTTCCACTTGCCTGGACGCCTCCTGTGTTACAGAATCCGCCTTCAGGTCCAGGGATTTCCTCTAATATGTTGGATAAAGCCAAGACACTGCAGCCTGCCTATGTCGGGATTGTGCCGCTCGCAGAGACTGTGTCAAAGCAAGGGAAGAGCTGTTCAAGCACATATCAAGATTCGTACCACAGCTTACGAGAAGGTCAGCAGGCTCTGCTCTCTTTGTTGTAGGCACTGTATAATTCATTTGTGGGGGTTTTATTTTGGGGGTTTTTTTGTGTTGTTGTGGTTTTTTTCCCCTCTTGCATATTGAATCTGCCTGTTTTTGCTTTCTGGGCAATAGTCCAAATTTTGGGTTTCCCACTGACTCCTGTGACCTCTTGTCCATGAGGGCATTCAAGCACATCACTCGACAAGCCTGGAGCTCTGTATGAAGTGACTTGCAGTGCTGGGATCTTGAGACAATTACATTTAGAAGTTTTGGTTTCAAACTTAAAATTTCTTCTCCCCTACATCTGTAGGCCTCTTGTGAGCAACATTTTAAGGCTATTTCATTGAAGGTGTAAAGGATTGTTCTGGAGTGGCAACTGTGCCTTGAAAAAGATAAGAGTACCATGTTTTAAGTGTCCCTATGTTCTTGTTTTAAGACTGTGCAAGGAGTGTTGTGGGTGTATCTAAATGTGATCTTCTTTTAGTTGATGGTATTCTGCAAATATGTGTGATTTTTTAACGAGGATTTAACAATTCTGAAAGATTATGTAGACAGAGAGAGGTCAGATTCCAGCGAGTCTAAAAGGAAAGAAGAGGATCTGGAGGGATTGAAAAAGATTGAGAAGATGAAAACAGGCAGTGATCCATTCATAGTGCACAGCATTATAAATATCAGCAAACAGGAACTGGGAAAAGATTACAGGGAAGAATGGCAGAACATCACAAAAAGCCAATGGCAAGCAGCAAGGTTCATGTTTTATCAGAAATACTGGATTTGTCAGCTACAAGTGAAATTTTAGTAGGAACTTGCAGAAGGAAACAATGATCTGGAGTACAGTGCCTCAGAATAAGGTGATGACTAGTTTTAAGAGCGAGTAATGTCATCTGAAAGGAGGGGAAAATATCTTTCTGACATTTTGCACAGCAAAGCAAGGTAAAGGAGGGGTAGGTGTTGAGGACAATAATCCAGATACAATAAGACCATGTTTGTTGCATAAATATGGCCAGTGTGTTGAAGAAGATTTTAGCAGTTGCATTTAGAGTATTTTTCTCTGGTACGTGGTTTAGACCTGCTGGGGCTGCCAGACAAAAGTGTTAGGTTTCTGCCCCCAATTGTCACTCCCCCTACCAAACCTATTTAACATCTATCAAGAGCTAGCTTATTGTTATTTTTAAAAAATATTACTATTTTTGTTGCATGTTTTCATTGGAATAGTCTTAGTTGAAATTATATGGAGAAGGAAAAGAAAACTGAAGTCCTAGTCCTCAAATTCAAGTTCAGGAGTTATGAATCCATTAGTACAGGCAGTGTTCCCAGATTTCTTTATCTGCTTTGGAGACATAGAGCTGCAGCACATCAATCTTCATAGGAAAAAAACAACCCAAAATTAAAAAAAAGCCAGAACTTGCATCTGTCCTGTATTTGCAAGCATTGGTTTTCACAGAAGGTGAGCACTTTGCATTTGGATGTACCAGGATACATCTTTCATCCAATCACTAAATATCACAAGCTGTACAGTGGGATAACATGTACAACAAGGAAGAAGCAATTCTGTCTTACTTTAATCAATATAAAAAGGTTTATTGCTGTCTCAAGTTGAAGTGAATTAAGGCCATTGAAATCTTGTGTAATTCTGGTTATTGGAAAAGCTGTGTTGACTCTGCAAAGTCCAGCAATACCATCAGCCTACCTCATGGCTAATTTATGATGCTCTAATGTCACATGTGATAAGGAAAGCTGCTTTCCACCAGCTACCAAATTAAAGTTAGGAAAGAGAAATAGATGCTGCCAGCTTTTTTTCTGTCAGATGAAGAAAATAATAACACTTTAGGTTTGCTGCTGCTCCATTCAAGTCCCCTGCAGTTTTGGGATGCCTCTTGTATTTATTCTGTAGCATGCACTGTATTTTGCAGAGCCAGTTCTTATGGGCAGCAGAGGAACAGATGCATCCACGTGTAAACCCTTATGGAAGTCCAGAATTAGCACTGAGCTGAGACTGATGACTGTTGTGCCTTAGTTTTTGATCCCCCTAAAAATGGGACAGCTTAGTTTCGTTGTCACCAAGACAGAAAAATCATGCATTTCTCTTCCTGACTCTTAATAAAACTGGACAAATAAGGGCTTATACTAACGCTGACAATGCTCATCTATTCTCTTTATGATTCTCATGAGAAGCAGCTATCTGGAATAGACTACATATTGCTTCCTGATTTCTGGAAAACAGATGTCTCCTAAATCTGATTTCTTTTTTTTTTTTAATTAGGACTTGACATTGAGGTTTGGGAATTGGTGATCCTTTCTACGCAGATACGGATTTGACATGCAGAAGTCAAAGAACTTAAGCTTGTATTTTTCAAAGTATGTGTTTAGGGCAGTTATTTGCAAAATTCCTAGAATTCAGGAATCCATAAACATGTTTTCTATTCAAGAATGCCTTGGAGTGATTTGGTTTTCAAATACTAGAGCCCAGTCTGCAGTTCCTACATCAGTTAACACAACAGTATGGTAGCCCCTCATGAGAGATATGAAGAGGGAATTGCAGAAAGCTACTCAAAACCCATCTAGCATTCACATGAGTTTAGTGTAGAATTAAGTACTATTAAGTACTTCCAAAGCTGAATTGCAACTTTTCCACTCCTGTACTACATCTCTGTACATCTGTGCTACACTTTTTTTTTCTTTTTTTTTTTTTTTTTTTTGCAAGTCCTCCCTTCAAAAACATTCAGTGTGACTCGGGGCCTGACAGTGAAACTCACCTGTCTTTTTCCAAGATTTGTATCTCAGAGCCCAGACACAGAACAAGTTCCTGCATGCCATCTGATATGCACGAACTGTGTGCACATTCTTGGTCCACAGCAAATGGGAGGTAATTTGAGTTAGCTTAGCCTTTGATTAAACTATTAATATCTGTTCAGTACTTTGAAGAGATCAGGAGTCGTGCAAGTCCTTGTTAGCATTTAACTTTCTTCAGTAGTAACCTAGACCTTATTGTCATTACACGTGCAGCACCTGGAGGTCCAGCTGACCCTGGCCCCACCTCATCCAGGAGGGGTCAGGAAACCTGCATCAGTACACTTGGAAGTTCTCAGTCCCAAGGAGATCCCCAGCAAGAGGGCAGCCCCTGCACCCAAGGCATCTCACAGGAATGCAGGGTGACATTTTTCTGTAAAGGGTGATCCGTATCTTCCTACTTCGCAGTGGACCTGAAGCTGCTTTGGGGAGATGTGTGAGTGATACAAATTCATGCATAAACAGTGTCAGAAACCAGTCACAAAACACACACAGATGCCTTTCTGAATTATGGCCTAATGCATCCCACTATTTGGAATTATTTATGCCAGTAGTGCTCTGACACATTAAAACACAGAAAATGTGTTGAATGTACGGGGAGCTGATCTGCTCTGGCATTTCTTATGGCAGATCCAGAGGCACACCACACTCCCTGTATCCTCTTGCTGCAACCAGAGCCTGTGACTATGCTTAAAAGTAAGAGGTGTAGTGAAGGTAAGATAATGATATACTTATGTGAAGAGGCTTGAAGTTGACTGTCAATTTAAATTTGTTTTTGCATAATAGCCAGTGTGCCTCATTTGACTGTGAGGACTAGAGGTGTTTCAGGGTATTTGCTAACTCTGTGACATGACTGGGAAGCTTGGGGAAAGGGTTAACACTGAATGATCAGGGTTTTTGTAAGTCAGTTGTTATCACTGGAAGAAGAGTCATAGAATTATCCCTGGAGCTGAATTCGCATGTTTTTTTAGTCCTGATGTTCTAATGTGTTTTTTATTTTTTTGGATATGACATGTTTTCCTCTCTTGCAGTTTACTAAACTATTCCTGTCAGTGTAATGATCCCCAGCTGTTGCTTTAGCCCTAGCTATTTTCATGCTGGGAATGGGAGGAGGAGGAGGAGGAGAGGGACAGAGGCTAACTTGTTTACCACACTGTGATCTACTTAATTTGTCAAAAATGCCTATTACAGTGCTTTCTGTAGTGCAAAGTAATACTAAAAGGAAAGTATTGCAGACTTGGACCTGCAAGAGCAAGGAGGTGGAAGGACTCAACACATGCAGAAAACAAAAAAGAGTAGAAATTGGGTGTGGTGTGATGAGTACAGCTGTCAGTAGCATTTATGCAGACAATGCTTTGAACTGGTAGTAATACCAAGTAAAATTTCCAGTAAGTACTTTCCTGCCCTGTCAACTGAATTTTCTTCACAGTGGAACTGAGCTTCATATCCAGTGACAGTGGTGCTGAGGTACTGATAATCCCAGCAACTGGCATGCATATTAATAAAACATATTAATAAAACATTTCAAGTTTTTTTTTTGCTTGGCTTTCAGATTTTTGATTTTTTTCATAATTATCTGTTGTTTCTTTTTTCAAGAAAACATCTCTATTTATACTTTTAAACATCAAATGACTGATGCTTAGACTTCCCAGGAGCAGCTGTTTTTTGTTGTTTTTCTTTTGAAAATGGAGCTATGATACTGAAACTCGAACTGCCTTCTTTGCATCCAGAAAAAAATGTTTGGAGTCTTTGCCTGAAGATGAGAGTCAGTGACAGGAGTGGGTTTTCCTTCTGCTTTTGGATCCATCTCAGGCTGCCTGTGTAAATCTTATCTCAGTAGTTTTAGCATCCACAAGATCTGTCAGTAATCGCCTGATTTTTCATCATGCAGTCACACCTGCAAGTCATTGATCAACAACTTAGTCAATGTCTAGACCAAAAATAAGTGCCTGCTTAGATGTTTCATTTCGTGCCCCAGCTCCCATATCTCTAGTCTTTTCTGAGCATTGAATTACTGATTTTGTCACCTGCTGCATCAATAAATTTCAATCCAAAATGTAGAAGGAGCACATTTTTTGGCAAGAACCTGTGCAACCTATGGTAGAAAATGGGATACGACTCCTGATGTGGCTTAGATTTATCGAATTACATCATGTAGTGAGCCTGTGGCGTAAATTGTGCTCCTTTTTCTTGCAGGAGGC